CTCCTAAATCACTCGTACGCACAATTTAAGAACAAATCTGTGCATACGAACTGTTCTTGCATGAGGCCCAATGTTTTTAAAGTCATTGTGTAATGCTTAAGTTCTAACTCAGTAAGTACTCTGCATCGACGAGTACCCAAACTGAAGTGCTGATATTTGAGATAGTTTGAGAAAAACTGGTATTGGGACACCCCAACTTGAAATCACTCCAAGCCCTCTGAAGGTCCTTCTAACTGATCTGAAAGCACATTTAGAGTTTAATTCTCGTGGAACTGATGAGCTAAAGGTTACTCTAAGTGGAGCTAAGACCAAGGTGATTTGATGCCTTCTTAAATCCAGTCTCAAAGATATCACAGTGGTTCATGCGAACACTATTTTATAAACCTTCACACTACCATTAATTTCCCATTACACTGTTTTCTGGCTTCAACATGATGTTCCTGCTGGAAAAGACTTAGTCGGCACAGAAAGTGCTACAGCTAGCTACTGCTGTCGCTGACTGTGTTTGCAAATAACTGTAGAATTTTATGCAAATAATCATGTAATGTAAAACTGACAGCAATGTTAGGCTTTATAAAACTGCCTTCATATGAATTTATAAAACCTTCAACACTACAGTTGTTTCAGATGGCAGCAATCCATTTTTACTTTTGAATTAGTAATTAGCTCCCCTGTCTGATTAGAATTAAACCCTTCAAACTGAGGATATTCATAGAGCTATATTTGTTCATAACCTTTTCACAGAACCCCACTTTTCTGTGAGCCTTTTTATAGCCTTTTTCATTTAGGGCCGTTCACGTAACTGCCATTCTTTACTGCTGCTGCACTCAAGCCTTTCCTGGAGTTCCTTCATCACTGGCCAGAAACCTTCAGTACTTCCCATCTTTCACCCTCTCTAACCCTGGAGAATGGCTGCATAAGTGTGAAAAGTAGGGCAGCACACAAGCAGATTTAAGAGGACATTTTCATCAGTGGGAGGCCACTTCATTTTAGCAGAGCCACTCATCCAGACCGAATTTGTGATTGCACCTGCAGCTCGCTAGAGTGAATGGAAATCTTGAGTAGCAGCCGAGGCGACAGGACAGGAAAGATGTTTAAAAGGAATTTCAGTTTCATCTGTCAGCAGGTAATTGGCTGATTCCATCCTCCGTGTTGACAAGAAGTTTGTAATAAACATGTTGGTCTTGCTAAAATGTAACTTATTTTTTGTTTCACTCAGTGTACAGTGTTCAGTACAAAGTTATTGAGTAATTCTCATATGATCTGTTCTTCACTTCCACCATGTCAGTGTTTGCACTGAACCAATCGGTAAACTTTGACTGTAGTTCTTGTTGGGCTCCTCCTGCCACAGAGGGGAGTATTGAAAATTTTCAAAGCTAGAGCTAGAGGTGGAAAAATGCCAGAGGACTCGGCTTTGTTCCAGTGCTGCAGAAATAGATTGTACTTGAGCACAGTGAGTTTTTTTCATGTTTTGCTGGTAATCTAAGCCATCAGATCAGCCACACATCACACTTCCTCTAGGAGAACAGTATTATTGGGTTCTCTTCTGTTTCTTTTGTCAAACAGGTTTGACAAAAGGGCAGCTTACTGGATATGTGAATCAGATAAGACTCGTTGGCTGCACACTGGGTGGAGCAGGATGTGATTGGACAGAGGGCTCCTCGTACTGTACGTCAGACCGGCGAATTCATACGTAGCAGCTCGGTCCGGGACAGAGCTGAGGTCAGACGTGACAAAGTGTGCTTTTTTTTCCCCCTCTGCGAAGAAAGACAGTTCTGTGTTCAAGAAGGACAGATGCCAGAGACTGTGGGATGAGGACAGAGGCTGTAATACCCCCGCATGTTTAAAACAATGAGCTGGCATTCTCTGCTAACAATACACATAAATCAATACTAGCTGTCTCTGCACAGTATATCTCTAGGAACCTATACACTAATAACAATTTAAATAAACTCTATTTATACAAAAAGGTCATGTCTTCAGTTCACAGCTGTTTTTGCTACTATACTAAAGGTTTGGGCGGGAGAGTGGGGATTGGAAATGGAGAATTTTGTTTAATTTTGCACATATTTCAGTATTTAAAAAAAACTGAAATCATACCTAAAATCACAGAATTACAGTGTAAATTTATGCACTCATGTAAAAATTGTAATTGTATTTTTTTTACAGAAAAAGTATTTTTGCAAATTTACAATAATTTTACAAACATCCATTTTTAAAAATCTTACTAAAAGTAATCATGTTTAATTTTTCTAAACTCTTTTTAAGTAGTTGGTTGTAGGAGTTCCAATATCACAAAATGGCAATATCGCACCATCTCTTCCATTAAGTTTTCAAGTTACAAAACATAAAAGTGGATAACGGAAAAGTGAGAGCTGAAAACTACAATCCAAACTGGTAAAGAAATGTTTTGGATATGACTTATTTTTAAAGATATGCAAAATGTTTCATGAGATAAAAAGAACAGATACTAAGTATTTCCATCAACAGATAGGGAGGTTTTGTATGCACAAAAATAGAACAGACCGACTCTCTGTACATTTGGTATTGTTCTTAAACACGTTTGATACAGTCAGCACATGAAATCTAGTTATTTGATTTAAACTGATGCCCATTGATTTCGTTGTACTTGTTAAAATGACCATAAAGATATTCTGATTCTGAATGAAAGTCAGCTGTAGTAAGACAAAAGTACGTGTGTGAATGAGAGGGAGGCAGGTGGAACGGTGAGGTCACAATGAGTTCGAGTACTTGGAGTCGACTGTCCAATAAAATGGAGTGTGGTAAAGAGGTGAAGAAGAGAGTCCAGGCAGGATGGAGTGGATGGAGAACAGTTTCAGGAGTGGTTTGTGACATGTGTGGCAGCAAATGTCAAAGGAAAGGTTTACAGGAGAGTAGTGAGACCATCTATGTTGTGTGGTTTGGAGACAGGTGCTGACAAAAACACAGGAAACAGAACTGGAAGTGGCAGACTGAGATGGTTTGGACATGTCTAGAGGAGGGACTGGGTATATTGGTAGACGAGAAGGAGATAATGCATTAAGAGAAGACATGGAGATAGATGGAAGAGTATGATTTGCTGTGGTGACCCCTGAAAAGTGAATTATGATTAGAATTAATTTTATTCAGCATGTACGAGTGAAACTCATCCAGCCAGGGGTTAACTATCTTCCTTTTTTCACATGCTGGTCATGTGCTCGATGGCGTCAGTTTGTGGTGTATTACTAAGATATGAAGGTTCTTAGCTTGCAAAATGTGGGCAGTACATGGTGTTGTTGAAATGCTGAGGGGATAGATTGTGTTGCAAGTCTGCTTGAGTTAGCCACGATCTGTTTATTTGCTTGAATAGCCGTGTTATGTGTTTGTTAAGGATTAGTGCAGCTTTGTACCACCCATAGTGCTCGTTGTGCAACATATTCCTTCAGGTCTTATCAGCTTACATTTCCTGTCAGAACTATAGCGTTGCAGAAGCTTGCTGTGAAACTGTTATGGCTTCATTACACTTGAAGTAACACTTGGAACAAAAAAAAAGTGTTGCTCAGAAACTTCATTAAATGCACAGTTCTGCTTTTTCTTCTTCTGAGAAGACTAACTGAGCGCCTTCTGATTTCCCCCTGCATACGACCAGACTTGCCCACATAACCTTTATTCGCACTCCACTTCCTCAAATCTGCTACACTGAACCCTTACTTGTGTCCCGGTCACTGAACTTTTAGCACAGCAGCCCAAAACTGAATGTTCTTCTTGGGAAGAAATGGCAATTAACTAAAAGAAGGGGGCAGTGTCTGGAAAGAGGATTATCTGAGCCTTGTGGCTTTATGGGACATTATTACTGACCTACATTAGCTCCCCATGCTCCACTTCTTTCACACATATTTCATGGTTATAATCTGAATATTGTCATCTGCGTTTTATTACAGTAAACAAGCAGGATTAATGTTAAAAACGAGCAGATGTCCCAAATAAGAGCATTACAGACACACCCAGATGGTCTCAGTGTCATGTACACAATAGGTTTTACGCTCAGCCTCATTTTGTAAAAAGTGTACTATTATGAGAACTACTTCAGTCTCATGCACATCCACAAGGTCATCAAAAATACGTAAATAACCTAATAAGCAAAGGCATTTATTAAAAACTGTTATAAACACTGATTATTATCTTCCAAGACTTCTAATTAAACATCTGTGATCCATATATTTCTTTTCTAGACCACGTTTGCTGAATCAACACATTTCTTTTCCTCAAATCCCCTCTGTAAGTAAATTTTTCTGTACAGTGTCTCATTTTTCATTTTCCGTCTCACAGGATCGAAGCACAGAAGGCAGTTTTCTGTCGCTGCGTCGGGGTTCCTCAGAAAACAACCTCGATCTGGACCTCACCGACGCAAGTCCCCGTTACGGCTTGGAGGTCCAGCGGAGCCGTTCCTGCTTGGACAACCTCCAGCAGAAGATCCTGAAGGTGACCGAACAGCTGAAGATCGAGCAGACGGCTAAAGAGGAGAACGTCGCCGAGTACCTGAAGCTGATGAGCAGCGCGGACAAGCAGCAGATGGGGCGCATCAAGCAGGTGTTCGAGAAGAAGAACCAGAAGTCGGCTCAGAACATCACGCAGATGCAGAAGAAGCTGGAGCAGTACCATCGAAAGATGAAAGACACCGAGGTGCTTCACAGTCCCCCTCCTCGCTCTTGGTCAGTAAAACGCAGCACCATACCCAGGGAGTCGCCCAGAGAGCTGCTGAGGGATATGACCGGCAGCGGCCGACACCCGACCATGGACAAAATCAAAACCATCGGACCAGGAGTTTCTCTCTCCCCTCCTTTCTTCTTCAGCAAGCCAAGAGAGTTTGCGAACCTCATCCGGAACAAATTTGGCAGTGCCGATAACATCGCCCACCTCAAAACCAACATGGACTCCTCCTCCGCCCTGCCCTCCGATAACGCAGGGAAAGGGTTGAGCGGCAGCACCTCTTTGGTTGGCAAACCCAAGTATCCCAGCGATGACGAGTGCTCGTCGGGTAGCGCCTCGTTTTCTGCCGACAGCAACGGGAAGCCTGCGTTGGGAGCGGCGACTGCAGGACAGGGACAGCAGGTGGAGGGAGGCAGCCAGAACAGACTAGACCTGTACTACGAGGAGGTGAGGGAGATCAAAGACACTCAGAGCCAACTGGAGGAGGACATTGAAGAGATCAAGGCTCAGTTCAAGAGAGATTACGACATTATCAATCAATCACTACAGGAGGAGAGATACAGGTGTGTTTGCATCGCTTCTTCTTCACTGTCCTTAAATCTTCCTATAGGATGCTTTGTAATCAGAAAAAAAAACTGACTGTTTTTTGTAATATGGCTAAAAGAAGTTGGAGTTCCTACAACCACAAAACATATTTGTTTCTGCCTGGCAAATAAAGGTTCACCGGTGTCTTGACTGGCAGGTACGGACGTCTGGAAGACCAGCTGAACGACCTGACAGAACTTCATCAACACGAAATGTCAAACCTGAAGCAGGAGCTGGCCAGCATAGAGGAGAGAGTGACCTACCAGGCTCAGGAGAGGGCCAGAGACATGCAGGTAAACCTCTTTCCCCTGAAGTATCATACAGCTAATCTAACACAATATAGTTCACAGGAACTTATTTTCAACAGCCGTGTGTCATATTTAAATTTTCTTTGACAAAATCCTGTGTTTATATTTTTCCCATTCCTTCTCACACTTTACAGCTTTTATTTAATGTATTATTTAGTTTTTTTATTGCACTGTTTTCAATGATGTATGCAAAAGGACAGCAGATCACCCGGTTTAGTGCCTCTACTGTTCACAGCTCTAAAAATGCTTCTCTATTAAAAATGTGTGAAAATTGTTAATCACTACAGCTGCTTTTCTCACATTACCTTGTCTGCAGACACTAATCCATGCAAGCGTGGATTCGGGCCTTTTGCTGGTCCTGTTTCTCCTCAGTCAGAGGAATGCACCACCTATGGTTTTCAAACAGAATGTCAGATTTTTGCTGCGTCACTCCACAGGATAGTTTTTCACTTGGCCTCATTTTCATCTTAAAGGGCGTGTAACATCGTTTTAGTGACAACTGACCTATAAATCTTGATGTTACTAACATAAACAAATCACAGTCGACATTTCATAATTTTCAAAATGAAGTTTTTTGAAACTCCAAGAACCAAAATCATGTCTGATTTTAACACACTGATGTCTGAGAGCTCAAAGATGACAAGCATTTACTTCAGGTTTTACTTATTTGCATGTCTACAGTGAATCTTAGCCACTAGTTTTGATATATTTCACCTTTTTTTTTTTTTGGTTCAAGATGTTAGCTCAGTTTCTCAAAAATTATGTCACTTTCGAATTTTATTTATTTGTTTTTTTGGGTGAATTAGTTATCCTAATAGGTTACCGATATGCTTCACTTAACCTAGTTGATTATTCAATGCTCCTTTAACTTATTTAAAACAGGGAGAATTAGGTGGGATTTTGTTCATAATGAGCTTTTATTTTTCAAATAAAGGAGCTTTATATTTCTAAATCCTCTGAACTCCTGTGAAGTCACACTTCAGAGTTCTCAGATTCTGTTATTTCTGCGTTTTTCCTGAGAAACTAACTCTTAATTGTAAACTGGCAGCAGCTCCTCACATCCGACCATGTCATGGAACTGCCTAGCAAAACGAAAAGTGGATACATACACGTCCTCAGATAACTACTTAAACTGTTAATTAACCTCCAACCTTCCAATATGAGGATTTAATAGTTTTTTATTCATGGTAGCCTTTTGAGGAGAAAAAATGTTCTTGGTCAGATCAGAAAAACTGCTCTCCTGGTGTCCAGCCAGTCTTTGATCAACGGTTTAATACATTAAGTCAAAAGCTCATCTTAGATCCAGTTTTTGCCAGTATTGTCTCGACTACTGAAAATAATTCATTTACATTTGAGAAGCTCTTAGTTTTTTATCGTTTGTCTTTTAAGACCCCATACTGTAATCGTAGCCGAATCTTCAGAAATGAGAATTTGTAGGACAATAAAAACCCATTTAAACATTTTGAACCATCTGTTTCAGGAAGCCCTCGAGTCGTGTCAGACTCGGGTGTCCAAGCTGGAGCTCCATCAGCAGCACCAGCAGCAGACGGTCCAGCTGGAAAGCCCCAACGCCCGCGTCCTGCTGGGGAAGACCATAAACATCATGCTGGCCATCATCACCGTCATCCTGGTGTGCGTCTCCACTGCTGCCAAGTTCGCCGCCCCCCTGATGAGGAGCCGCTATCACGTGGTAGCGACCCTCCTTGGACTGTGCTTTCTGACTGTGTTCTGGAAGAACTGGGAGCGTTTACAGTTTGCCATAGACCGGTTGTTGATACCAGCTTAGATTTCTTTTTAAATCCTTTTAACAATAATGCTGTTACATGTAAAAACTGAATGGTCTCAGAGGATTGGTTGTACAATCTTCAGCAGACATGATCAACATCCATTTTTAGAGGTGATGATTTTTTTTAAAGATGGACTAAAATTAAATTTTAGATTTTGTTTTTTTTGTCCAGAACTTGAATGTGTTTTACTAACAATGTCTTTTAAACTTAAAAACAACAACAACAACAATATTTACTTAACAGTAAAATTCTTGCTACTTTTCCAGCTGTTGATTTGAACTCATCTGAAGGGTTAAATGGGTCAGAGGTAGTCAGGGTGAAGAGAAGGCAGAGGAAAGGATCTTTGAACGTAACTCAAAGCTTACACACAAATGCAAAGTGCTGCTCGTTAGGTCTAGTTGGCTTCACTCTCTTCACACTAAAGAAATGTTGGTGAAATAACACGTATTTGCTTTCTTTCTGATAGTTAAATGATATTTTTTTCCGCATCATTCCAATAAAGCTGATGTGAGCAGAACTTAGCATCAAACTGCTAAACCATGCATCTCATTTTAGTGGTTTTGGGGCAAGTTAGCAGATTTTTTTTTGTTTTGTGTTTTATTTGCAAAGCTAAGAGGCTGCTGGTTATAAATAAATAAGGATTATTTTTCTAAAAGTTGACATTTTATTTAAGGTAAACTTAGGCCTGTCACAATAACAAATTTTGCTGGACAATAAATTGTCTTAGAAATTATCTCAATAAACGATAATATTGTTTGGACACCATTTTAAACTAATTTATAGAAGTTTATGAAATTTACATAAAGTTACAGACAGACTGAAGGCAGCTACTGAATCTGTAATATTGCTACACACCCCTATCCAAGCCAGCGCAATTTATTTTTTATGTGTCTTTATCTGATTTCATAAAATAATTGCAGTCACCTGCACTCTGTTTACGATTTTTTTTTTTTTTTTACAAAAATTTATGAAATTTACCACCCAAAGTTCGGCAAGCCCTGAGGGCATCCTGAGGCGTTGCCAGCTGAAAGAAGGTGAAAACCGAAGACGCCCCTCTGGCTAAATGCCTGTTCACGGGGCTGTCATGCTACAGAGGCTACGAGACCATGATGCCAGAGTTCACTCCTCCCCACGCTAAGGACTAGAAAATAGGGAGACACAAAGAACAAACAAGCAGGCAAATGAAAATTATCGACCTCATTTTTAATTCATTTCGCAATAGATTGACTTGTTGCTTATTGTGACAGGTCTGGGTAGACTAAAGCAGAGGTGTTGGGCTTTTTTTATTGTTTCGTTTCTGTCGTTCCTCTCTGTCTCATATAGTCAGCCATCTGTGAGCGTTTCTCAGTTAAATGGAGATCTTTCAAGTGCAATATGTTTGAGTTTAAAGAGCGCTGTTTTTATTCCCATTCCCGTAGTGTCAGTTTTAGTGGAGTGACAGAGTGTTGGTTGCCTGAGGAGTGTTGTAAGGAAGTGTCATTAATGCTGCCGTTAGAGATCCATAACCAGCCACTACTGGACTCTGATAAAACCATCCGCCTCTTCTGTCAGAGGAAAAAAAAAACAATTTAACTGCATTAGCTTGCTAGTAACAACAGCACGCCAGAGAACTCCAGGCACACAAACACAAACAGCACAAAAACAGGATCTGTCACTTTATTTTCTCTTCTATCCATGTCTTATGTGTTGATCTTTTTTTCTTTGTTTACTACCATTTTCTAATGATGTGATGCAGAGGCAGTAAGTTAAACTGTGATCCAAGGCCTTTTCTGAGGAAAAAAAATGCAATTGTCTTTGTTTAACAAGAGCAACAAATAGCCTCACAGAGGACTACATTGCTGGTTTTGGTGATTAACTACAAGCCTTTTTATACTATTTTTAATCACTAATGTATTATTTTATCTGTCTCATGAACATCACCTGTGAGGATTTGATATATAGCTGATAATGTGTCTTCGCTACATGTTTTTGTCGATGTTATTCATCTTTTTGTTTTTAAATCGTATTTGTTCCAGTTTTGACATACTTTTGAGGAAGTTTTACATTCAGAGCAATGATCTTGTTTACATCCTGTGTATTTATCTCTGGTGCACTATGTGACCAATCAATTGTATTTTTATGTATTATGTGCCTTTTTGTCTGATAATGTCTGTTAAATTAAACCTTTTTAATCAACATAAATTTGATAACATGTGACGAGTGTTTGGTATTCGCAATATGACCTGATTGAGATTTTACTGGAATTATTTTGGTTTACAGGTGAGGTTTTCCAACAGCAATTCCAAAAAAGTTATGATTTTATGTAGAATAAAGATAAGATAATAAAGACAATGCAATGATTTGTAAATATAATAAACCCATGTTTGAATCACAAAATAAACATGGGTTTAAACAAAACTAAGGTAATTTTGAATTTGTTAGCAACACGTATCAAAAAAGTTGGGAGAAACAAATAATGGCGGTAAAAGTAAGTGGTACAAATAAACAGCTGCAGGAGATGAATTCCACAAACCATTGACTGTAAGTTCACTGTGCCGTCCACAAATGCTGGTTAAAGCTCTATCATGCAAAGAAGAAGCTACATGAACATCATCTCTGAACCAAAGCACATTTAAAACGAGCTGCTGCAAAGTAGAGATCTGTTCTGTGGTCACATATTGAAAAATAAAATTATTTTTAGAAACATGATGCACTTAAAAGGAGAGAAACTATCTAGTCTGTTAGCGCACAGTCCAAAAAACCTGTCTGTTGGTATAGGGGTGCATTAGTTCCTCTGGCATGAAAAACATACAGGTATGCATATGGTACAGCATATGCTTGTAATGACGTCTTTAGCAAAGGCCGTGCATATTTCAGCAAGACAATGCAAAACAGCTGCATCAACAGCTGTTTATACATATACTGTATATATA